CAAAAGGAATCAAAATGACAACAGAAAGAAACAAAAAAAAAAGATATGAAGGATATTTTTTCCCTTTCTGTTGTTCATTTTTCCTATACAAATGAAGAAAATGGGAACAAAATCCCCACAAATCCACCAAGAAATAAATTACCACAGATGCAGRACAGTGAGTGACAGAACAATGATGCAAGTTCAATTTTATTTTCAATAAACACTTAGGCAAAGTGAAACTACTTTGACAGTAAACACTTAAAAGCACTGGCTTCAAAGTAAGCCTAGAGACAATGATTACTGCCCTGTGAGCTAGGACATTTGGTTTCAAGCTGTTATCTCAGAGGAGAAGATTTGAAATGCAATCTGCACTTCCCAGAGGTTTATACTGTGGGCTGCTGGAATTAAAATCAGATAGATACAACTCCACTCTCACTGCTGACCACTATGCATCTCCGTGTGCATGTATTTTTTCAGGGTGGAGTGGTGGGGCTTCTGTAAGTTATGTGAAGACACACATTGAGCAGATCCAGGAGGCTGGCACCTGTCAACTCTGCAATATTTGCATGCTCATAGGGACTAACTGCCGACTGTTAAGCACCATTTCATTGCATAGGAGCTTTTGCTATCTACAAGTAGTACAAAGCCTGAGAAAGATTTGGGCAGGGTGAGGGTGGCCAGCAGCTCAGGTCTGCATACTAAAGGAGATGGTGAGATCTGTACCTAGTTCAAGTTTTTAACGTTTGAAAATGTTACCCAATTGCTTCAACTGGTCTAACTTTTCTAGGTGTTGCTAGGCTCAGTGTTTGTTCATTTGTTTCTGGTAAGCTGGAAACATTGAAGAGTAATCTGTTTAAGGCATTGTGAATTGCATCGACAGATGGAGCTGAGGGAGATTCTTGTGCTTGTATGTCTTATAGAACAAAACACAGCCAAGTACAGGTCAGTCACATTGCTGTGTGATTTATTACTCAGGGTTTTGTCCATAGCAGGAATGTAACTATGTTGTAACTTAGAGGGAAAAAAATCTGGCTTTATTTAAAAATTTTCCACTTTTCCTAGTTATTCTAAAATTGTTCAGCTGTAATTAGCAAAGGAAGGACTTAGTTTCCCTTTGTCTATTATATAAATCTGAAATATGTTAAATATACATGCTAAACATTTTTCTCTTCAAACTGGCATCCTACAGAAGCACTGCAGCTGCACACAGCACTCCCAGCTGTCAATAGGAGTATTACCATTGCTTCAGTGGGAACAAGGCCRAGCTCATAAATCCAGGGTGAAAACATTTCTGTCTCTTCCCTCTGTTCTTGGTAATGTTTTTGTTGTTCTTCATCCAACATCATGCTTAGTCACCATCAGCAGGTAGGCCGTGTAATATCCATTCAGGGACAAGTGTACTGAAAACAATTCCATAGGTCAAGGTCATAGCTTCACTCCAAAAGGAAAAATACTGCCCTAAAAGAACACTCTTAATGGGAAGGCTGTACTGAACTTACCAATGTGTCCATGTTGCATTTGAAAGTCAGAASAACACCAAGGTTCAAGAACATGTTGTAACTCTGATTCACATTCATTCATGCAGAAAAAGGGCTTTTTATTTCACAGAACAGAATGTCTTGGGGATTATCTTCTTATAAGGATCTGGTCTGTGTAGTCCCTAATCTTTTTCAGCCTTAGTACCTGAAACCCATACTTAAGGTCTGTAATAATTAGAAAAACTTTTTAGATGTGTTGGACTCTACAGCTCCCTTTAAGAAATTTTTTTTTTAGTGTGGTTGTATTGTAATATAAATATTCGTAAAGAAACTTTGTGCATTAAGAGAAGCACTGACCAAACACTAATTTGCCGTTGTTGCCACCAGAGGATGWACATCAAACAACAGTGAAACTGCATGCTCCTAGCGCTCCTCCCCAAGCCTGTTCGTTTCAAAATATACATACATAGCATGACAATAAAGTAGTTGCATAATTTAAACTTAAAAATGTAATTCCAGTAGACTTGTGAGTCTACTGGAGAAATGAAAGCAAGTGCAAGCTCTGTAAACAAAATAAATACTAGGATTTTGGTTTTTGGTTTGTTTTTTTTTTTTTTTTTTTAAATTGAGCTTTTCCCCATGGTTTGTATGTATAGTATACCATACTTGCACATGGTATACAATAATGGCAGTGTAGTTTTATATAGAAATTCAATACATGCAATTTCACATTTTCTACCATCGTAATTCTATAAATGGGAGACAAGCCTTTCTTGGGGATCATCATTCACTAAAGTCTGCCCTTTTTAGGCCTGGCTGAAGTCCCTTTGGGATTTTTACTTGCAATTAACTCTTGGAACTATTGGTGTAGAGTGTGTGACAGAAGTTGGAAAACCCCTGAAGAACCAGTTGATTTTATTAATATTCTCTTGAAATACTATAAGCAGTTTTATGACTTTTGCAAACTCATGAGCACCTAAATTACTGCAAAACAAATGCTATATAATCTTTTGTATTTATTTTTAAACACTCTAGAGAGGAAATAGAACTAGTTTCCAAAATCATGAGGGCTCTCGGATTTTTGCATCTATCTACCTGATATAGCTTGAAAATCTGGAAAGACCCAAAGTCAGTTCTGTGTTACCACTTGGTACAATGTGTTTTCCTCCACTGAGGAAAGCCTTTGGGATTTTATTGGCATCAACTAATTCCATGAATTGACAGGGTGGCAGCCTTGTTCCCTGAAAAACTTTCCCATCATTTACCATGTTGAGAATTTCAGAATTTTTGCATTACACTTGGAACAAACCCAAAGATGTCTTAGATGTTAAGTAGCCGTATTCCCTGGATTCCTTTTGCATTTAATGTAGCCCAAAGCAGGGCCTTAGAAGGAATTTTGCAGCAACTGTACCCCTGGCCTCCTGAGATTTGGCACTTGTCCCAGATGACCTTTCTGCTGGGCCTAGTGTCATGGAGGGCATCAACCCAAGTAGACAAAGGTACTTTGTGGTATGACAACTAAGTCTGAGTTTTGGCAGACTGGCATCAGATATCAGAGGGTATCAGATGAGCAAGGAATCTGGCAGTGGAAAGTAGGCACTAAAGACAAAAGGTCTTTGTGTCTTACAAGGAAAAAACTAGAGGCCAGATTGGAGAAGACATTGGATGAAGACATTTGAAGACCAAGAAACTGGATCGGCAAGAGTCAAATGTGACTTTGAGAGGCAACACTGAGAAAGGAAAGCAGAAGCAATATCGAGACTTCCCAAGACTAGGATCAGAAGTCTGAAGAAGGAAAAACTGGAACTCACTATCTTAGAATGCACAAATAAACAAGAGGCAGAACTGGGYCATTTGGATTAGGCATTGGATCATACAGCCAGATGAATCTGTGCTTGTCCCAGGGGTAGAGGAGGGTTTTACACTAACCTTGCACTTGCCTGGTCTTAGTTCAGCCCCTGGCACAAATCACAGATACTGATGAAATGCCTGCAGGCTCAAGGGGAATAGCAGAACATCTGCAACCATGCCTATTTTATCTCAAAAGCAGCTTGGGATCTACACCAGCCAGGAACTCTCTGATTGCCAAAAGAACCTGTGGACACCAGACAAGCAGCCTGGGTAACACACACAAGCAAATACCAGAACACTAACTAAACATGAAACCAAGTGTGCATGACTTGGCTCATGACCTGAAGGACATCATCGCCTCACTGCCTGGCTACACAGAAAGCCAGATCTGAGGATAAATAAGGCTGTTCTCCTGAGAAAGTGAAGAATTTCTCTTCAGGAATCATTAGCAAAAACATCCTAATTCCTTTTAAATCCTGAGAGATGTTGTAAAAACCACAACTGCACTCTTAAATTTTTGAGTGCAGCACRGATGCTATTGGTTGGCCTGTCTCATACTGTTGGATTGGGACATACTTCTTCTCTGCCACCTTGGATGTGATATACTACAAGTTAGTGTGTGGGAAGGAAATGCAAAAGTGTCCGTTGCCTCCATTCTTAACTTGCAGCTTCTTTTGAATGGGACCTCTCCCCTTTGGGGTAATTATTTGAAATAGCTGCAAAACCATTATAAGCCAGGAAAATGCAAGTGCTAGAGCCACACAAGTGCAGAAATATGTGTATGTAGGTGGTAAATCTGTTCTGGATTCCTGCTGCTGACACTCCACGGGTCCCTTAGAAGTGATAAACTCTTCCTGTTTAATCTAAAGATTAAATACAAGAAAGCAGTAGGAACTAACATGAGCAAGCTTTTTGTATCACTTCTTGGTTGATGCTTCAGAAAGTTCCTTTGAGCTAAGTCATCATTTTGATCAGCTGCCAGGTAAGACACCCTTCTTGACCTCCATGCAGCAGCTCCAAAGAAAAAAAAACAAATAGAAAACCCATACTCCCTCAAAACACACAGCCAAGGATTAAGTATCTCCAATGCAACAGTGAGTTGCATTTACAATTTTAGGCTGAGACAAGCCCATTTTGAGCCAAAACTTCAAAATAATCTGCCATTACTTAGTAATCTCTAAAGAATGGCCTCCCTGCTTGGTGCCTCTCAGTATTTCCACATCTCTCCAGGTAGCAGAAAAAAAACATTCCAGATTGCATCAGCTTTGATTACCTTTTAGATGAAGAGATTCTCCTTTGACGTACTAGGATTACACTTTATGTGCCACTAGGACTTTGTCACTTACAAAACACCAGCAGCCTTAGAAGACTTGAATGCTACACAAAAGATTATGGCCAGGAGGAGCTGTGGAAGGATGGAGGATGATTCTTACACAAAGTTCCTCCCATCTTTGTTCTAGGCCTTTCAGCCATTATAAATGAACGTTGACTCGCATGTAAAGGMACTTCTTAATTTATACCTGATTTCTACATTTAAGAGACAAGAATGACAAGAGAAATGAACAACAGAGAAGCAACATTTTGGAAGGAAAGAGGAAGTCTAACAGGCACTATGATGAAGGGTGATTTATTGTAACTAGTCATTCCCATATCATGTGACAGCACTAATCCCACAGATAGCCAGCCCAATCAAGGTTCTTCTATCATCAGTTCATGTTTAGTTGCCTCCTCAATGTTGTTAAGTTGACGAAGCAGCCATTCCCTTTCTTTCTTTCTCTGTTATAAAAGAGAAAATATTATTTAATCAACTTAATCCATTCAGATGCCACCTTCTTTCAAAAACAATGTACACAGAACAGTTATGACCCAACTGGACTTGGATTGAAGTTTTCCACTTGTTTTAAGAAGTCTTTATTCTCAGAGCTGGCAAGTTTTCTTGAGTTTTCAACACACTGAAGAACAACATGGTATGGAGGAAAAACTAAACCAGAACAGAATTTGATGGCTTCACACTGACATAGCAACCTTCAGAATCTAACTCTGCTGCCTTGCTATCCTTTCTATGGGCTTTCCACAGGACCTTTGCTAATACTTAAAGCTTCAAAAAATTGAGTTCTTGTGCTCCACAAACAACCAAGACCTGCAGAACATGTTAATCTAAGCTTTCCCCAGGAGCCCCTACACCAGTCAAAAGGACTGCACACAAGATCCATTTTGTCATGACTGGAATTCTTCTTATAAAGCTCTACAATTTGGATTAAACAAAGAAAGGAGTAGATTATTTGTTCCTCTAGTTTGAGGTGACTTGCTAACATTAAGAAACTTTAGAATTTAAATTACTGGATTCTCCCCATTCTTAAATATCTTCTAAAGAAAAACATATTTAAAAAATACTTTCACAATAGGGTACATAGTGAGTCATACCAGCTCACAAGCTGAAGCAAATGCTAGCTTGGAAGTTTGCATGGCATCCCATCTGTGATTAGGAATTGTAATACAGAGTCTACCAGGATATGACCCAATTCATAAAGAGACATCCTCACTGCTAAAGTTGTGGGAATATTATACTTAGCAAACKATTCCCACTTTACTAGAAAGATCTGTGTATATTCAACATTGGTAGAAGCTTGCATAATGTAGCTATTGCATAACTAAACAAAAGCCATTACCTGGAGAGCCTTATCAATTTTCTTTTTTCTCATTTTTGGTACCAGGGGATCTTYGATCCCTGGTATTCCAGTAAGAAGCCATGAAGGTCCACTCTTGTGAGTCACTGAAGCTTCCACAGATGTTCGGGTGGAACCTTGAGTTTCTGTGTTTGGGACAACCTTGTGAGCTGGCTCTTGATTTGATTCATCAGAGGCCAACACAGTGGAAAGCCTCCTTCTAGAAAATACAAGCTGAGAGCTTTGGCTTTTCTCTTTATTTAGTTCTTGCAAATCAAATGCTGTTGAAAGCCTTTTCGGGGACCTATGAGGGAAGTATGCATCAACACGCACTGATGACACTTGAGATAATGATCTATTTAGATTTGACTTTGGCATTGGAGATCCATAAATCCTCTTTGTGGCATCTTGGTCCTTGATTGACTGATTTGTCAGATCTGTAAGAGATGGAGTTGTTCTTGAAAGCACTGAGTCTACTGGGGTGCTGTGTTTCACCATTTTCTTTTTCACAGATCTTTTAACATTCAGAAAAGAATCATCTTCCTCTGACATCTTGAAGTCTTGTTTATTGCCTTAAGAAAATAAGATTGTGTCATTGTTCACACTGCAAGAGATACAATGCCAACTACTTAATCAAATCCAAAGTGTTCCTATTTTCATGTCTACATTCTGTCTTTGCATGGAATTTACCCTTTTTATAGATCAGTGTTCAAGCATTTGGAAAAGCCAAGTTGAAAACAGAATATTAGAACACAGCTGGCCACACATCCAACACTAACTTCCCTCCCAGCTTCCGCATTAGGAGCTCCAAGTGTGCTAGAATTTTTAAAGCTGTTTCATTAATTGTAACATCATTAAGACAGTGTTTTCCCCTTCCAAGTATATAAATGATATATTTTTGGGGTTTCAGCTGCTAAAACTTTCTGTAGCTGAAAACTATTACATGGCACAGTGATTACCATAGTGCAGCAAAAAAAATCAAGTGTTCTAAAGAGATGTGAAGAGAACTGCTAGATTCACCCAGTCATCCTAGTCCAATCACCATTTTGTTTCTCTTAATTCCTTTAAAGGGGGCTCACAAGCCTCTGTTTCCTCTGATTTACTCAACATTTGGCTTACTTCAGCACCTAAGCTTTGATTCTAAAAAAATATACATCCTGTGCAAGTCTTTTTTAAACTAATTTTACAGTAATGGCAAGGTTATTTTTGCTGGTAGCATTATCCACATCCATTTGCAAACACCCAATAAAAAGAAACTCTACTTCTTACACTTACTACTTCTTGGGCAGAAAAGCCCGAGATAAAGATATCCAAATTTAGATTAATATCTCAATGAGGTGAGCAGTTAAGCGCTTCTAGCAACCATACAACTCATTGCTTTCAAAAGGTCAGATATTTCATGCAGGTTGATTGCCCCATATTCTAAGGTGTATAGAGATCAAGGCCTTGGAGGGGTAAGACAACAAGATTGCAATAAAGCAGGGCACAGGAAGACAGGGAAGTACACTTGCTAAAGTAAGAGGCATTAGTTCTCCACTCCTTGTCAGTGTTTTGCACCTGTGTAGGATCTAAGTTTTCCAGTAGAGTTTCACATCCATTTTGTGCTTCTTACACAAAGGAGGTAAGGGATACAGCACTCACTCTCTAATACAGCAGAAATCAGGTGGTTTGTGGTTTGCTTGGTTTTTTTTCCCTCCTTACAAAGAAGGAAGCATACTCCATAACAAGTCTAATTTGGATAGCCATTTCTTCTCTTATTTCTTAGTGCTAAATAATGTGACACATAAGCAGCACTCAGTCTACAGACACTGTCTTTTTCCTTTCCTGTTTAGACAGATTGACTTCCTTAAGTCTTTATCATAGAACCTTACTGGCAGTAAGCTTATATGATTAAGCTTAGAAAGGGAATAAGAAGGACTTTGCAGCTATCACTCCTCCCCCAAGCCTCAGTTATGTATTTTGATGTTTTTCCCTTCATCATTAAATGGCCAATTAAAAGCTATTTTGTATCTAAATTAGATTTTAACAAATGTTTTAACCAAAGCTTTTGAGGAAAATAACATTTTTTTAATTTCATATTTCTCTGCTTTAGAAAGATATATATAAAAAAGCAACAGATTTTTTCTGCTCTAATACCACTCTAGATAAAGGAGAGAAGTTTAAAAACAACAGAGAAATATAAACTATTTGAGAATGTCAGACTCTACCACAGAGAATGCATTTGGCAGGAAATTTGACAAAATAAAACAGACTTATCAGACCTACCAGGTTCTGATATCTTCTTTCCTTCCTTCCTTTTTAGGTAATCTGGCCTCAGCTGCCTCTTCACTTCTTATAGACCTGCTCACTATGCTTTGCTGCAGACACACCCTAATTAACACAATTCAGCATTTTTTTGAGTATCAGAAGTGCTCCTAACTGAATAAACTACTGAATACAAATCTAGGATTAATTAATCATAAAAATTAATCATAATCATTGTTATGAATAATTAATCATAAAAAAGGACTAGACAACTTCTCTATGTGCTATGTTTATAGCTATTTAACTTCTACTGTTTGCTGCCTAGTTCAATCACAAAAATACCCTATTGGTAACTGGCTTCATGTGGCTGCTTAAGACACATTGAGGATGTGTTGCAAGATGGATGTATGTTGATGGAGTATATTATCATCCTGATTTTATCTTCTCAGTGCTTTTCTTTCTCAAAAAAGAAATGGGAAATTAATGTTAAATCTGCCATGAAAAATCTCTTCTTTTAGGAAAAGAGGTAGTGAGAAAAAACCTGAAAAACTGTAAATTGCAGAGTGATTTTCATGGTGTTTGCAGCTAACAGCTAAGGAACAGCATTTTATCTTATAGCATGTGTTTTCAAAGTATCAGCTCTTAGATAAGAATTCCATTGTTTTGAAATGGCATGGTTCAAATGGAGGACTGTAATTTTTGTCAACAGAAAAGCAATTGGACTACATCAGTCGTGCTGAATTGCAAGTCAGCTGTGGTAGCTGACAGTAACCAGCTGTTATCACAGCTCCTTAGAGCAAGAACAGGTGTGAGGCAGCATGTGCACAAGTACAAGGGTAGCCCCTTTTGACAAAGCATGACCTGTGGATCTTTGAGCTAATCAGAGAGACCTAATTGCAGGGTGTCTTGGGTTGATTTTATGGTGACACTCTATTCCTATATTCAGTGAGCTTGTATGCCCAAAAGGTGCCTGTGCCTCTAAATGTGACCCAGAAGAAGGGGCAGGGGCGGCTGGAAAGGCAGTGCGGGCCKTTAAAAGCAGGCTGCCATGCTACTGCGGGCTTTTTGAGCTCAGCTTGGTGCTGCGGAAGGTCTGCTTGCTGCATGCAGGGGACTTACGTTGTTGCCGTTTACCTATCTTGGGTTTCTTAGCTAGGGAAAACATCTCTCTTTGGACTGCTACCCCTTCTGTGACTGCTGTGATTTTCTGGAGCAGATCGGCAGGGCTGCGGTCTGAGAACCAGGAGGCAAGTGCCGACCAGCTGGGCACCGGCGGGGAGAAGCCGCACTGCTCTGTCTCATCCCAGTCTCAGGAAGAAGCCAAGCCAGTGACAGAAAAGCACACCAAACCCTCTGTTTCATCCACCGTGAGGAGAGGACTACCTCCAGGTTTTTTTCCGCTGTTGCCAGAGTAGCCAGGTGGATTTTTTTTTTCTTTTGTTTCTTTTTTCCCGGAGACAGGAGCCTCACCATCTTTCTCGACCCCAGTGGCCGAGTGGCTGTGGAGGGAGGGGGTGGCGTGCGTTCCTGGAGTTTTAAATATCCAACAGTTACTCATTCTTAATCTGTGTCCTGTGGGCAGCTTGTTTTGTTAATAAACTATTTTTCTCTTCACTTTTGCCCATACATCTATTTCATATTGGCGCAAAAAAAATCTCAAATTTTTCACTTCAGAGGAAACATTTACCCTCTTACGTTTCTCTCTGAAAACATTGTATCAAACCAAGACACAGGGCTTTACATGGATGACCTGCAGTTGTAGAGTGCATTTAGTGCAGACAGAGGAGCAAAGCACTGATCTTGAAGCGATTTGAAGTGTTGGTTCCAGGGAGTCTGGGCATTTCAAACCTAATCATAAACCACTCTCTCTTGCCACATTAATAGCTGCACTATGAATAGAGAATTGGAGCTACCAGTTCAATTTTTAGAAGTCACAATCTGTCAGTATATGGGGAAAGTTTCTAGGCTTAAGTTATGTGCCCCTAAGGATCTGAAAGAGAGCTTGAGAAATGGAGGCACTTTACGATCACATGGATTGCACGAGTAAACATCTTAGAAATAAATAGTCTGTCCAGGATCAGCTATTTATTTTCTAAACTCCCAGGGGAAGTTCCTACAGGAATATTTTGAGAACTAAACAAAAACTATTTTGAGATACTTGTGGCTGGGCAAAAAAAGAAAAAAAATTCTCAGTCCTTTATAAACATAAGACCAACCTTTACCTCACTGTGAATATTTGTAGTTAGCTTTCATACCTTGTGGCTGGGTGAGCAAACCTACCAGGTCAGCCATGCCGTGCCTTGCAGAGCGCCTCAAGCCAGTTCCTTATATAGTACAGAGCAGAGTGATGTCTTGATGTGGTGTCGCAATGTTTGTGCTGTCCTGCTGTATCATCGGACATAACATGTCTTCTCCTGGCAAGGCAGTGATGYAAACAACACTGAGCAGCATGAACCTGCATGAGAAACGTTTTTTAATGCTGAGTGAAATTGACATAATTTCACTGGACCCCTTCAAAAACTTATAGCATTGCCTCCCAGCTGGTGCTTGGCACTCCTCGCTTTGCTTGCCCTCACTTTTTAATGTCCTTTTCCAAGGTACCTTATAGTCCATGAGTGCTGTCTGTAGCTGCATCGTCTTTGTCTGCCTTCCGTGGCCTTTTCTGCAAAACTCTTAAAAACAAGGCTTTTCTAAAAATCCTTTACTTGCTGTTTTTTCTAGATACTTGCCAAATATTCTCAAGATACAAATGATGAGATTTGCAAGCTGTTCTTGCTGTTAATAATGGTTTATCTTATGTCCTACAGATTCATCTTTTTATCAAGTGGTGGCAGGATGTTATAGAGAATAAGAAAGACATAACTATGCAGAGATAAGACAGAATATAGTACAAAATTATTATAACCATGCAGAGCTCAGCATCTACAGTAATGACATTACCTTCGTCTCAGTGTATCTGTAGCCATGTTCCAGATTTGAACAGGAAACACACAAGCCCTGAGTTGAATGACCCCTTGAAAGCCTCTTGCATCTTTTAAGGAATGACATATACTGTGTCCTGCACTCATACCTCGTCATTATGAATAATTCCTTTTCTAAATGTACATTCCTTAGAATGATCATCTTCATCCTCAGCATTGTCTACATGATATTTTGAGAAATAACTTCATAGGTTTGGATCCAGACTTTTGGCCTATATTTATTCACCATTCCTCTCATTTGYTGTGTAATGCAAGATGGCACTCAATTCTAGAAATATTGTTAAGTATCTCCATATGTATTACATAAAACCTCCCACTGGTTTAGGT